TGGAAGTGAACTTTTCTTTCCTTGTTGGGCATTGAGTCCCAGGGTGCTTTACCACTGAGCTACAGCCCCACCCCTTTTTGTTTTTTTTATTTTGAGACAGGATCTCACTAAGTTTAGGGCCTGGCTAAGTTGCTGAGACTGACCTGGAGCTTGCAATTCTCCTGCTTCAGACTCCTGAGTAGCTGGGATTACAGGCGTGCACAAGTGTGCCAGGCTGGAGGTGAACTTTGAGTAGAAAGTGTGGAGGTGGTCACACAACATCTGGGGATAGCTGGCCTTGGCTAATGTGATTGGAACACAGTAGGAAGTGCAGTGAAAAGACGTGGTAAAAGAGGGGGGAGCAAGTCATTCAGGGAGAGGAATGRTATTTCATGTTGAAATTTTAGAGTTAATTATCACCACAGAAATAAAGCAGAGACTGTTAATTGGCTCCCCACCACCACCACCAACCATAACTCCTTGAAGAGACAGGAAAGGCAATGAGAAAGTAATAAACAATAAAATCTTGTTTCTGTAAATCCCAGCAGAGACTTAGCCAGAGATCACAGTCTCTGTTTGAACCTTTGTTTCTTTGAAGCTTAGTGCTAAAAAAGCAAACAAACAAAAAGCTAAACGAATTTATCTCTCAACTCAKCAAGTTGTATATATTAAATTCTTATAGCTTTCTGTATCTCAATCATACCTCCAAAAAGTGGTTTGAAAATAGAAAATGAAAATATAGGTACCCAGCCCAGTGGTCATCACAAAAGAACTTACCTGAGTAATAAGAAAATCAATTTGGGAATAAATGTGTAGCAATCAAAAGAAGGTAAATAAATCCAGATCTGCATTAGGAAGTCACTGTCACATCCAGGGTGAGAGAGGTTAGCTGTAGAGGAGATACCACCAAGAATGTCATTTAGACACTGAAACAGTGTGGTGATCATAGCCTTGCCTTCTCCATAGAGAGAGGATGAAGAAATTGTTTCCTTAGGTAAATGAATCACCACTCTGAGCTTGAATTTTCTCATTTACAGATAGAATTTACGCACATGTACTATATGGGTTRGTTTAAAGAACTAAGAAAAGTTTGTGGAATTGTGTAGCGCTGTGTATGGTACATAATGACATGTAATAAATTACTCAAATGAGTTAGGCTYTTCTGAGGTTTATCCCACCCCAAGTTTGGAACCTTCCTAGATTAATTTGTTAAAGAAGGGGTAGGAGGGATATTCTGCTGTTTTTCTTGTAAAGATTTTGTAGTTTTGCTCCCAACTTGTTCTCTTCTCTTTTTCCCTTTTTGTATCTCTTTCCTAGACTTTGGATGATACAAGAATAGATAGATAGAAAAAAAGTGGTTGTTACAATATTAGATTAGCATTGGGTGTCAGGAAATCAAATCTAAATTCTTAATCTTCCTGTCCGTTTTGGCCTCACATGTCCTGGTAAGCAAAACCCAGTAATTAAGTATAGGTAAGCAGAAAGGATGAAGAAGATAGGGGATATGTCTTACCTAGTCTTCCTTCCATACTTGCCTATAGGGCTGAGGCACTGTGTAAGGACACACAAGCCACACACAGTGTTAGTGCAAACATAGAAAACTCAGTTTCCCTGTGTGGTAGGCAGAATGATGCTCCCCCACAAAGTTATCCATGTCCTAATCCCCAGAATCTGTGAATGTGCTTACATGAGAGCAAAAGGGGCTTTGCAGATGGGATTAATGTTAGAGACCTTGAGATGGGGCATTAAAGATGGGAGAAAGAAGCAGAAGAGTTAGAGAAAGAAGGCAGGAGAGGTGGGACATGAGAGGTGTTCCATCCTCCATTGCTGACTCTGAAGATAGAGGAAAGGGGCCACAAACCAAAGAATATGTATAGGCAATCTTTAGAACCTGGGAATGTCAGCTCATAGCCAGCAAGGAAAAAGGGAATTCATTTCTACAACTGTACAGAGTGAAGCTGAATTATTTCAAAAATTTAAATGAGCATAGAAGCAGATGTTCCTCTGGAGTCTCCAGAAAAGAACACAGCCCTGGGTAATACCCTGATTTTAGCCCAGTGAGACTCATGCCAGACTTCTGATTTACTTACAGAGCTGATAGATAGCAAATCTGTGTTAATTTGTTATGGCAGCAAGAAAAAAACCAATCATGTGAGGTGAAGAGTGGGTGAACTTTATATTTTACACCACCTTTTATTGTCTCACCCCATCATCAAGAATATAAATGAGATTTTTCAGACAAGGTATGTGTATTCCATTTTATAGTACTTACTCCATATAAAGTTGTCATGGGTGTAGGGATCCAATTAGATTTTTTTCCATATAGAGAACCAAT